TTGCAAATTTAATTTTGAGTGTGATGTCTGGAACAGTATTCAGAGTAATAAATGGTTCCATTAACCATTTAAATTGTTTTTCTCATTTTAGATAAAAAACTGAACATACTAATACTGGTCCAAAGATAGATTAAAATTATACATATTAATATAGGATTATCCGAATATGAAAAGTTACAATTATAATGAACATGAAAAAACCATGCACTTCTTGGAGATAGGGCAATTGTGGTTGTTCTCAAAAAGAGAAGAGTTTGCTGAATTACGTAAAGCGTTTTAAGCTCTCTCTAGATTCGAACAAAATAGCAATGAATGGCGGAGAAATAACCGCCAGCCGACGTCTTACAAAGAAAACGCGTACTAATAAAAAAGTTACATTTTACTATTGAGACCGTCATACGTCATTGTCAGAAAACGAATCTCAATATTTTAGGAACTGGTCGCACTCAATTCGAAAACACTTGGCGACGAATATAATACTACGCGAAAATTGCAGAGCAAACTAGCAGATGAGCATTCATGACAAAAGGTAAAGCTGACTATTGTAGCGTTGGCGCGACTGCCCATTATTAATATTATAGTTACGACTGAGCACAAAAACTTTACGCTTCCCATTCGATCAACAGGTAAGTAAGATTTATTATCTCAGTCCGCGCAAAGTGCATTTATTTGGTATTCAGTACGCACGAATTAATTACATTTCGATAAACACAAAATTATAAGAAAAGGATTTAATGGTACACCGAACATAGTATTCAATGAAATTAACAAATTGAATAAAGGCGAAAAATGTTTAAACATTACTTGTGATAATGCAGGAGAAAAAAATGCCATCATTTAATTTTACCTATATTTAGTTATTGTAAAAGCATCGAATTAAATGTATAATATCTGAACACACTAAATTAAGTGTAATAGTAATAGAAAACAGTAATATGTAGATTACGTAAATTGTATTGTTGAAGTTGTAAAAAAATTAAGCACGGATGAATTCAATAAAACTCGGTGCTATGCAATGAAACGGCTTTCAATACTTTGGATCTTAACTCTTGGTTGAAAATTTTTTTTACTCGGAAAATACAATGTTAGAAAAGCAAGAATTTCAGAAATTACCAAAGAAGTTTAATTAATTTTTATTCTAATACTAAGCCCTTTTCTCCTTTGGATTGAAATACGACAGTTCAAAAATTTACTAAATGTTTTCTTCAAAATTTTTTCAAAGTGTCTTGTTATTTTTATTTAGTTTCTTTTCATTGTTTGTAGTAACATAGTTTATTATGTCTTTTCACTTTTTTTTTATTTTTATAACAATATAAATGTTTGTACAATTTATTTAATTTTGTATCTCAATTTAACTGTAACTTTTATAAAATATTAATAATATTTATTCTAACTTGAAAATGCTAAGCAAAACAAGTTGCTCCTTTCTGCTATCTTAGTTCGTAAAATAGTAGCAGCAGATTTTATCTGTCTCAAAATTTTCAATTAATAAATTTAATTTTTTCCATTTTGGTTGTATTGTTACAATTTTCAAATATAATGCGTCCCGCAAGCTATGCCATCAATTAACGCCTGAAGGGCTAATTTAAACACATATTAAATTTTTTGACTTTTTATTTTGTTGCGTTTTTTAAAATAATTTATAATCATTGTTAATTAAAGCAAACATTTCCTGAGTCAGGAGTAAATTAGTGTCTTTCTTTTCTAAATAACTTTTTTGTTATTATAATCTATATATAATTTAAAAAAACTGGATGCTGCAAGGTGGACGGACATTGCATATTCGTGTTACAAAATTATCCAATAGATAACCATCACGTGTTCATCATTTCTTTGTTTACAACCGCGACGCCTAACATTTTTATTATTATGATTATGGATAACGTTAGCGAAGTAAAAGTATAAATGTAAAATATAAAATAACCATGTCAACAAAGTGACAGGGTTATACACTAGTAATAACTTTATAATAACTACAGTGCGCGAAAAAGGGGTTTGAAATAAAATGCGCGTCAAGTAACACTGAAATACGAGTCATAATCGAAAGAGTTATCCAACACGGTTTGTACATTCTACCCTTAAACCTTAAAAAACTTCGATAATATTATTTTGTAATTTGCGTAATTCGCTTGTTTTGTTTACATCTTTTGTCTCTTCATTAAAACACAATGACAAAGCCTTTAATTGATCAAAATTGCAAAACGATAACAACTCTATGGACAAATGATACTCACAATATCTACACTATACATGAATTAACGTCTATTTCGCTTACTACAGTATATAAATCGATACTTTTTTTCAATAACACTTATAACTAAAATATTACTCGTAAAACATATGAAATATAAATCTCGCAAGCCTGATAAACTCGATAAACCAATATTTAGTAATAACAAGTTGGGCCCCAATAACCGATATTACGGATTAACAATACATGTATCGTAACTGGCTGAATTTGAAGAACCGATAAAAATAATGAAGACAGACAGCCACATCGGTTTTCCAAGGTTTGACTGCACTCTACCTCCACTAAACTTGGAAATATACTAAATAAGCATTATTCTGACTTTATTTCATAATTTGCAATATTGTTGAAGGCCGTTTCTCTTTTCACTTATAGACACAAGAATGCGGACCTCAACTCGATTGAAATTTTATAGCAAATTTTAAAGACACAGTTTGAAAAACAAGTCCACGAAATAAACAAACGGTCACAGTTGAGGTCTTTCGTGGAGTGGTTCAGAAAGAATGGGAAGAGATCGACCAAAGCACATACACTCCCCTGAACTAAAGTATCCGATGAGAGTTTTTTCGAGCTTATGCAAAATCCAGTATGACTATCAATATTGTGGCTTAGCTTTTCACAAATCTGCATGTAAATTTTGAAGTGTTCAGCTTTCTTGAACTATAATTATTAAATAAAAGGCAATTGCGATTAAAATCAATTTTGCCTTATGACTCCCAAAAATTTATATAAAAGAAGAAATTAAACCGTAAATTTTTTAGACATACCTAAATAAATAAATTGGGTTATTATTATAAACCAAATACAAACATGTGTTTTATTCAACTTTTTTGTCATTTTTTTTGTATAAAAATAATTAAATAAAAAAGTAAAATTTGTGTTGGTTTGTTTTGTTTTATCGCGCCAAATTGTTATCCTTATGATAAATGAAAGGATAGGCCTGCGGGTACAAAAACGCGTACACACATACGAGCATTTTTATTATCGTCTAAAAGTTTGGAATTGACAGAAGCTGATCGAAGAAAAATTTTAGGTCTTAGAACAGTTGGAAGCAGCATTTCAAAAATATATAAGACATTTAAATTCCGCCATCCACTGTACAGAATGGGAGCCGTTCACTTGCCCGACAGTTACTTGCCCGACAGTCATTTGCCCGACAAATATTTACCAGCATTATTTCAAATTTATCCTTTTTTGGTAAATTTTTGTCGGGCAAATGATTGTCGGGCAAGTGACTGTCGGGCAAATGACCCGGACCCGTACAGAATACCATTGTTTACATGAACTCTGATAATTAAAAAGTATCACGGAATAATCACTAATTCCTCATCAAACATATTCCAATTTGATTAAGAGCATACCAAGACAGTTTGAGGCAAGTATTGATGGGCAACTCGGTACTAAATGTTTAGAGTCAAATATCGGCTAAATTTTATTTGCAATTGCCTTTTGTTTAATAATTTATAGTTCAAGCAAGCTAAGCACTTCAAAATTTACATGCAGATTTGTGAAAAGCTAAGCCACAAAGTAATATATCATAGCATAGCTATACTGGATTATACGACGAAAAATTCAACATTTTTATTTAACAAAACGTCGTTTTGAAATCATAGTTTCTCGACAAATAAAGCCATTACTGCATCTACAATATTAAATGTTTATCTTCGAGAACAACCCCAAGGAAAAAGACTATTGAGGCAATCTAATGACGAAGAAAAAAAGAAACCGCAAACCACTCAGATGGGGGAAATGAAAATGAAGAAATAGATAATATTAAATATGTAATTTTATTAGTAATAATGGCTTTGGATTTTTCGAGGTCTTTATTAGGCACATGGTTTTGTGTGTTTTTTATTAAGCACAGCTAAGGTAAACCTCCAAAGATGGGTTTATTCGGCACATGGGTGACCTTTAATTTATAATAATGGCTTTGGGTCCGAGTAGATTTCCTCCCATGCAATCACTCTGGTGCTTTTACTACTACTTATATATGATGCATTTGTAAACCAAATTATTGTTACGTTGTTACAATTGTATCAAATTAGCGAAATGTAAATCAAGGCTCAGTGAATGCACTCAAACAATCCCTTATCAACAACTCAAAACTATAAAGAATGTTACTGTATTCTCTTACTTTCTTCTAATTCTCGTAATTTATCAAAGTTGGTATCAATTTCGTTTATTTTCCGTTCTTCTTGATAACTTTCATCAGTGATCTTCTCTTTATCAAGATATTTTTCGAGAATTTCGGCATGATTTAATATGGAGCAGTTTTTCTCTCTGAGTTTTTTTAAATACTTCTCTTGGGTTCCATGTACATGGTAGATTTGATTTAAATTAGCTTCATACATACAGATAGACTCATATCAAATATTAATATATTACTGTTATGATGGTACTAAGTTAATAATGCACTAACACAATTAAAATTTTATCCATGAAAGCTAAAAAACAGTCCACTCTAGCCAATTACAATTCCAAATCAAAGCTAAAGACATAGTAACATAAACAGTCAAACGTTTCCCAGTTATAATGCTAACAGATAAACATACCATTGTCAAACCTTTTCGGGCACCCCCATTATACATTATTTGTATAATAACAATTATAACAATTATTATTATTATAATAATGAAAATAAAAAATTACTGAACCCTGAAACGACACGTGTTACTAAATACGTTCTCGTACAAACCCCTGAAATGTCTTTAAACGCCAGAATCTCCCAGCTCGCTTTTTCTCGTAAAAGACCATGTACAAGTTCTCAGCACCAAACTCGCCTGGTCTGTCGCCCACTCTGTCAGCACGAACAACAACTTCATATGCGCCGTCTATTCGAACGATTGATATATTCGACCCTGTTGTCGTGTTATCCCGTGCTGACATTAGGGCTTCGATCGACGCTTATGAGCAATTGCTTAGTGCAGCCAAAATTTACCGAAATCAGTTGATTGCCTTGTCACAGGCTACTGCTGGATTCGGTCAAGCGCTGGAGCGAATGGCCCGATGTAAAGGCGCGCTAGAAGCTGGTTTGTTCTTATATATTATTCTATTGTCCAGCGCAAAGCATGCGGTTACTTACCATGTATCAACTTGTGCATTTTAGGTCCTGGATTGCAAGCAGCTGCAGGATTACATTACTTGATGTCGAACCATCAACAGGTTCTGGTAAGCATAAGAGGTTACCATTTTTTCTTAACGTGCAGGTTGTTAATCCGTCTCTTTCTTAGAGTGATTCATTTTATAAGAAATTTGAGATACCGTTGTTGGAAAATCTGGATGCACACAAAGCAGCGATTATTGCAAACGAGGAAAGTTATGATAAGACTCTAGTCGAGATGAGCAAAAAGATTAAAGAGACTGAAGCAGAGAATTTACGAATTGGTAGAAGGAAACAGAGGGGTAATATTTCATGTCAAGTATGAAGTGGCGATGGTTTGCTGCTATATCAATCTTTATTGACCGTTCTTTAATTTTCATTCTATTACGATAGATCTTTCTCAATTTAGAAAGGTTTGGCCTCTTTTTTCTTGTTAATGTTTACATTTCTGAATATCCATAGCATCGTTTTACATCTAAGGAATTTGATTAATTTGGAATATCTGAATATTATGCTCTATGTTATAGGCTTTGAGAGATTTAACCCAACAAGTGGAGCAACTGGATATACTCAAGAGTGAATATTATCACCAGACTCTTGAACAAGAGCAGAATAATTTAAATTTTATTCTATCCAAGGTTGCAACCATTGTTCGCGCTGAAGTTGATATTCACGAAAGAGTATACACAAAAGGATTGGCCGACCCATTACTGGAAGCTGTAAGTATCTTTGCAAGTGAGCACGCAAATATAATTAATATATTGCAGTCTTGTTATTTTGATCTTATATTTTACTCATTGACTGTCACTTCTTAGATGACATCTCAAGGTCCAGACCCATTTAGCGCACATCCCGAATCATCGGAAATTTTTACTGTACTCCCAGCTCCAATTATTAATAATCTGGCGCCGGAAATAAATAATATAGCAGACTTTTCAACCGAGGAAAACTTTTATGCAGTCCGCGCTCATGCGCAACTTCCTACAAATCAAGAAGATAAACATATAATGACACGTGATCAATTACTTAATGGGGTGACGAATAATCAGTCTACTTCAAATTCAAGTGGATACGAACCAAATGCAACTGCTATCAGTATCAAACTCCCAACAGAATCAGATACTTTATCAACAAATCAGCGTTCTACACAATTAAAGCAACAACTTGACTATATACCAGAGGATGCAGAGATTTCACATAGTTTAGAAAATAACCATGCGGTGCCTATTGCACCAAATAACGATAGCAGCCAAACGTTGGAAGCGAAGGATTCGGAGAGTGACATGACTCCAAAAGATAACACGATACTGAGTATCAATTTAGAATCAACTTCTACAGCAAGTATGGAACAATCTACGTCAAATCAACTGACTACAGTTGAAGAATGAGTTTGTAATTATTTATCATGAAAACTTATCAATAGCTTTGTTAGAATATTCATTGACATTTTATTTAAATTTAATAAATTGACAAACAGCATGTTGTGTATTATGTACCTGTAACTTTACAGAAAGCGTCATTGATGTATCAACTAATTATAGTCGCTAGAACGTCTTCTCACACTTTCGATATGCCGCGGGACCAACACATTCAGTAATGACCTTGGGTTTGCGGCATAGGTCCAGATCTGGAATGAATTTAGGCAGCAGACAGCATCGAGGTTTAAATCGTGCCAATATATAGAAGCAACCTCTTCACTTATAATACTGGGGATTTGTATTAGATAAATTTTATTTATGGTAAAAAAACATGATTTTATCTCTAATAGTAATCCATTATTCACGTACTCTTGTATATAGTTTGCATGAATCTGCATATGAATTTGGCAGAATGGTTGTCTTTTAGACAATAAAATAATAATAGAAACGGTCGATTGCTTTGCTTTTTGAACATTTCTGCAGAGCACTTATTACCCAAAATAATTTATTTTCATAAAGAATTATGTATTGCACGTAAAGACTAGGTCATAGAACATCCGCAAGTTGGAATAACAACTTAATAAAGCAGAGGCTTTGCCAGAGTGTATTGTGGCAACAAAGGTCGCGTGTTTTCACATTACAGCATAGTTTCAAAGATTAAAAGCTATTCCATTACCATTCCGTTTCATGAACGAAATACGCGTGATATCTGTACCCAGTCTGATCTCATAAAATTTCTAATTAAAATCACATACAGTATGGTCATTAGTCTTATTATTAAGACAGATCTTGTAAACGAAATAACTCGGATTTTGTTGATGCAAACACCATCAATCGAAGGTAAATGACCATATACAAACGCGTTTATTGATTTACGGAACGAATAAAACTCTGTTTGCAAACCACCATATTTTTTTATAGTATCAACTTGAACTCGTTAAATAAATAAAAATATATGACTATGAATGAGAGAGTTTTTCGTTGATATTTATGATGGTGCTACAAAAAAAATGCCATTCTCATAGTCGCAAATGCGAGTACGAATGCAAAAAGAGTAACCAAGATAACTTTGCCTCGTGAAGTATCTGGCAGATAGATCCGTTTTTGTACATTTACTCCAGTGCAATGTGTGTCCAAGTAGATATAAAATGCAAGTAAGGGGAATGTCGTGCAATAACTCAGTTGGAATATATAAAACCTAAGAATCAACAACGCATTTTCGTAATCAGTGAGTATGCAACATATTTTAAGAATAGATAAATAACAACGGTAACATCAATTCTATTGACAATATCTATCAAAGACAAAATCCAATTACTTACGCGGCAGCACTATCGATCCAAACAGAGTTTGCAATGTTACCAATAACGTGAATAAATGACCCAAGTACCAATAAAAGTAATTGGTGAGGATGCTCCACTATTTGAGGATAAAACTCGTCATTCGGGTTGTTGACAGCAGGCGGTAAAGCAAAAGGAATCTGCGCGGATGGTTCACTCCCGAGGTATTTACGAGTTGTCAGATAAACTCGCGTAAATTGAAGCCAAACTGCCCAATCTGTGCAAAGACCTGCGTGGCAAGGTATAGCAAGTCAGTAAACGTTCTAAACACTGACCCGAATCATTTACGTATTCCACCAACCTTGTATTTTGAAATAGATTCCATCGTTTGGCCAGTCCAACCAAATGTTAAACACTGCCGTGACAATCACATACAATCCCATCCACACGAAGAACCAATTGTTCTTAATCTTTCCATTATTATGCAACACCAGTAGGATTGCGATTTCCAACATATTATGCAGTAATCCCCACACGGACCAGATCTTTCCCACATCAAGAATGAAATATGCGATTGCGGCAATAAAGGTCATAAATATATACATTGAGATCAACTGATTGAACAGTGTGGTTGGAATGGACACTCCGTTTTTGTAGAAATAAGAGACATGTTTTGTTGAAAGATTATCATTGTATGTCCATTTTATGCACAGATAGCCAAAGACTCCCATTAACGTTATGGAAAGGAGCGTGAATGAATCGCCCTTTTGTTGATCAAAATCTTTCAACGATTGGAAATAGAGTTAGTCACGGAGTTTCATTTGTTTGAATTACTACTGGGTTTTTACCGATTATTTCTGGATGCCATGCCAAATATCCGGTCCATCGTGAACGAGCTTGTTTAGGAACAACGAACTCCCTCGGGAAACTTAGCAGTATACATACTAACAATAATGAGATTACAACGATAGAAAACCAAGACTTGCAAGACATTTCCTTAATAGTAGTGTATTTTCACTGCAAACGCAAGATGTTGTTGCTTTGATGGTTGATAATTAAATGTGTTGCGGCTCAGTTGTTGTATATATTAATATAGTAATAACAATCAACATGTTCCATTGTCATTTACTGTAATAGCAACAGAAACGCAGATCTCCATTGATAACTGATAATCTACGATTGTGTGTGCGTTATTGCCCATATTGCGACGTGCAGAACGTAAACAATCAAATTTTTGTTTTTGCAACCAATTATATATCTTATTTCGTGACAATGTTAAAAAATGTTCTGACTAAAACTGGAAACACATTTTGTTCCGATATCATCACATAAACAATGTTAATAATTGGCGTGATAATAGAAAACATGCCTATTTCGTATATTATTCGTTGTTATTTAGACATCACATTTAGTCCAATAGTTGAGGCTGCGAACAATGGAAGTATACTGGAGAAAACGTGACTTGGTTGTGCTAATTTGTCAATTGTAATCACATGATTCAAAGGTCATTTGTGACCCTACCAATTGTAGGTTGCTAACCATTACCGATCATTTTAAGCTTGAGACAACAAAAAAGAAACAATGGCAGATTGAGATATATCAGGGTGAATAGTCATTATGATAAATATGTCCAAACTACATACGAACCGTTTCCCAATGACAGCTGCCTCTTTACAACAATGCAATTTCAACATGTTGCCCGGACGTTCTAATCGAAAGAATTCAAGCCAAAGTATCGCTATACAGAATTTCTCGAAAACGTAGAAACCTTGTTTTGATGCGGTTAACGAACTCGCTGTGAATAAACTTTCCTCATGATAAATATGGTTACAGAAAAGTCCCTGGAATTAAATTGTACGATTAGATGAGCACAATACTCACCTTTGCCGTTACCCAATTGATCATTGTCGATCATATGATTAATGATCTGCGTGAAGTAGTCATTCGCAAAAGCAGCATACCGAGCTAAAAACGGCATATATATATATCGAAAACTACTTTACCAGATACAGGGGTGTTTATAAGTTTTGGACCGTCCAATTGAAACCACTATACTGCTCGTTTCTTCGCTCTGTTAGTCGGCAATTAGGAACTAATTTTTGTTCTATGGTAACACTACTGTAATCACGTGATGATCTTCGGTTTCGTGAAGCTAACATGAAAAATCCACGATCGACACATTTTAACATTTGATCTATCCCTACATATTCTCATTACACTTTTGGTCTTTAATAATCAACTAGAATGAATCTTTCAACAATTCTCAACGACCCCAAAGACAGCTACGATGTTAAAAAATTCTTTAGTGACTATTTCGTGCCTCCAGAGCCACCAGAATCGATGAAAGTCGAGGAAGGAAGCTCGGGAAATGAAGAACCAACCATTCCGGGTCGAAAAATGGATTCCCACTCTCTTCCCGGCCTGGTGAGGCCAAAGCGGGGGCCACACCCGGTAAGAAAGTATGATTTTGAAGAGGAGTGTCCGACCATGCGTAAAGTCGAGATCGAGCAGGTGTGTCAATATGCTCATATCCAATCGATAAGTTTCATATGATCCATCCTCGACTATTGGTGACTATTCAGTGGATATTTCTAATTAAATGCGTACGTAAATGAAAATTCAGGGAGAGGGAACACCATTGGGACAAATTCCTAAAATATCTGGTAGAATTGACCGGCTAAAGTCATCAGATAAACTACTAGTCTTGCTCCATAAACTTCTCTTCCGTCGTGCCGGGGCTCGTGCAGAAGTAAAGCGGCATATTAGGCAATTTTCGGGATTTGTTACGCGGGACGAGGTTTGTTGTTTTGAAGATCTAATGATGAATTCGTTGTAGTAAATAGACATTTACAGTGCGTCTAAATTATGATGTTTATAATAGAAGGAAGAAGCACGATTTTTTGAAAGGCTTAAGAAGTGGGAAACAGAAGATCTTTGTGAATTATCAAAGTTGCTTGGTCTGACTGAAACAGTGACAAGGGTATGGCAGAACTGTCACTGATGCGATTGTTAATTCAAATTTATTTGATCGTTTATGTAGTAAATGCTGTCCATTCTCCGATTCCGCAGGAAATGTTGTTGGAACAGACCATTACATTTTTAAAAAGACCCGTCGACAATGAGGCTGCAATACAGAATGTGTCGGTACCAATACAAAATGGTTATATAAGTATGGATAATGCTGAAAGTCAAAATGGTGAAAGCATGCAATCGGCCAAACCACGGACTCATCGAAAGAAAACAGCACGCGAAGTCTTTTTCCAAAAAAATCGACCATCATATAAAGCAAAACCGGAGAATATGTACGCAACTAGAAAAGACATTGATAAGCAATTACAGACGACGTGGGATAGTCTAAATCCTCAGGAACAAGAAGAGTACGAGAATCTAGCGGAGGCTGCAACAGTATTACGAACGCTAACTGAAACAATTGCTGAGAGGGTGGCGTCTGAAAATTCGCAACAGCAAACCACAGAAACAGATGCGGAAATTGTAGATGCTGCAAGCATTCTATTTTCTATGAACAGTGATGGAATATCAATAATAAATTCAAGCCAGTCACCTATACAAAAGGATGTTGCCGAAGTTGCCAACATACTTCAAGCAATAAGTGAACAGCAAATGACATCTGTAAGGTCATCAAAATAAAAAGAAAAAGAAAAAACAACAAAAGAAAGGAAGAAAAAGGAGGGTTCTCATGTCCGCTCGTCTGTTATCATTTGGGATTTTTTAATTTTATAGTTGAGGGATGTAATCAAAAATTTATTGATAGCTTTCAGTTGATGACATTAGAGAAATTAGAAGTATAGCAGTGTATTAATATAAAATGCGTAATTTGTAAATGCAAAGTATAAAGATTGTTGCCATTGCGCGACTTTTATGTATATTCTACATTTTTCAAAAAATTGTTGTCTAAGTCGGTTTACTATTTAATTATTTGCATTCAGTAAAGCACTAAACTTGCATAAAAGTCATTCATATATAGAAAAACCTGTTTGTCACAATTATAACAAATCACACGCGGCATTATGGACTCGCGCAATAATGACACTCATTATAAAAGGTATTACACTCACTTGGTGTTTTTTGCGTTCCTTTATTGTTATACTTTACTGTAATCGTCAAACACGTGATGGTATGATTATGCTTCGTATATCATGTGACGATCACATCAAATGGATAATGATGAGACATTACTATAACGGGTCATGTTTTGGGGAATAAAATCGAAAATAAAAGCACACGACTGCTGTGGGTTAGGAGTTGGACTTGGATATAAAATGCTCTTAACGCGAATCAGTAAACTTGACGTTTTTGATTGATATGGGAAATCTGAACATATTTTTTTTACTTGCCAAAGATTTTAACTGGCAAGAAACTGTCAAAAAATCACGTTAGACGACAATAAAGCCGGGCACTTTCACAACACTTATGCGCTCTGTTCATTATGCGTATAATGATGCATATGGCGGTTTTTTTATAGGCTCTTCTACGATAAATATACCCAACCTAATACATTTCAAAAGGGTTGCTAAAATACTTGCAGACGTGCTTGGTATTCTTTTTATTTTGATTTGATACCAAATGGCCAGTTCACTTGTATAGCATCCCAATCGTGAAATATTGTTTATCGCGATTCAACACAATTTACAATTCATGCAACGTCACTAAAACTTAAACTATCTCACGGTTATACGTCATGTGTCTAAATAATGCTCGGCAGTACGTGTAAAGTGATACTGTATACTAGTAATGGTAATCATTATAGTATTGCCTTTATTGACACGGATTAATACTCGTAATTGAGGCGCACTTTTTCAATAATCTTATTCGTTACTTGGCTATACAGCCACTGTCCGACTAGTCAAAGCTATATAAATACATCAAATCCCCCACGGCCAAAACTTTGGATTTAATTGTAAATGGACCATAAACCTCGTGTTGCGATTATCGGTGCTGGTATGATTAGGAAAGGAACGTTGGTCTATACATATTTTTCCCTTTCGAGACGTTCTCACATGCTTAAATTAAGGTCTTACTGGCTTAATTGCTATCAAGCAATGTTTGGCCGCTGACTTGCAACCTGTCTGCTTCGAACAAAGCGATCATACTGGCGGATTATGGAGATACACTGACGTCTCCTCGCAGAATCAAAATCCGCATTCCTCTGTATATCGTAGTACAATTATCAACACTTCCAAAGAACACGTATGAGCCGTAATAGTATTAGTTTACCTTTGTCACCTTCGGTAACGGCTAGTGTTCTTTTTTGCGTTACAGATGCCATTTTCTGATTTTCCAATTCCGGACGATTGGCCGACATATCTTCCACACTATAAAGTATCAGAGTAAATGTTGTACCAAGAGAATCCGTACGGTTTTTCTTTGAATCAATAAATTTATACTAACCAGCAAATTCTTTCCATAGATACGGCGACTTGTACGCGGATAACTTCAATCTATGGCCACATATCAGATTCGAGACGACCGTATTAAACGCGTCTATGATTCCAGAGACAAAAAAATGGAAAATTGTATTTAAAAAGAAGGAGGGGGGAAAGGAGGAGGAGGAATTTGATTATGTTATGGTATGTACTGGACACCATAGTTCTCCTCGGTTACCAAATTACCAAGGAATGGAAACGTTCCCTGGTAAGCAGATGCATTCTCACTTTTACAGAGAGTAAGTAGATACGACCCGTTTAATGAGTCAAGCGCATGAATATATGTGAGAAAACTAAACTAATATATTGCAGAGCATTTGCTTACACCGGCAAACGTGTCGTGGTCGTTGGAGTCGGCAACAGGTGCAATACGAAATGATTACCGCGTTCTTTAATATCAATTAACATCTAATGGTGCCCGCATTATTTCCAGCGGCATGGACATATCTGTAGAACTGTCGCACATTGCATCACAAGTCTACGTCGTGTCTCGAAGAGGTATCAAACAATTTGTTTTTATTTATTACGCGAGTACGTACGATCAACTATTTGTTTCTTCCTACAAGGCACACTTCCCTGGATCTTACCCCGCAGGACCCTCTTTGGACGTCCATTTGATCACTTAAATTCGCGCTTCCAAGGCATGCTTCCTCGATTCATCACCAACTGGTTAGTACGCCAAATTGTCTCGCTTACCATTGGCCTACCCCCCGAACATCTCCGCTCGCAGCATCCATTTTCTGCTGCTCATCCAACAATGAAATCGGATTTTCTTGAACGACTTTCTACCGGAACCATTGAAGTTAAACCTGATATCTTAGCGCTAACGACTGATGGATCCGTGACATTTGTCGATAATACGATTGTTGATAACATTGATGCTATCATTTATTGTACTGGTTACAACAATGAAGTACACTTTGTGGATAAGGAAGTTGTCAATGGTGGGAACATTGTTAGAAAGAACTTTGAAGAAGGAGAATATAGAGAGAATATTACTTGGCTGTATAAATTCATGTTCCCTCCAAGGTGGAATAATATTGCCTTTTTGGGATTTGTACAGCCAGTTGGAGCGCTCATGCCTTTGTGGTAAGCCGTTGCGAATCATTTCTTCGTATCGCTATACGAAAGTCATGAATATCCGACACTATTTTTTAATAGTGAACTTCAAGCCCGCTATGTGACAGCCTTGATTAAAGGCGAGATTCCTCCTCTCCCCTCACCCGAAGAGATGGACAAACACATCATGGCCTACCATGATCGAAATCGCAAGCAGTTCTATGAAGCGGCCAGACACACCATGGAGATTGAATTGAGACCGTATTGTGATTCAATTGCAAAGGAGATTGGTTGTTACCCAACGTTAACGAAAGTGTTATGGAAATTTGGGTTTGAGATTTGGAAGTTGGTGCTATTTGGTGTTCCTACACCTATGCATGTGAGTGTATTTTTGAAGAAGATTGTCGATAACGTTTGGGCTGTTGCTGACAAGGGCATATTGTTGATGGCTTTTGCTTTTTCAGTATCGATTGTTGGGACCTGATACGTGGTCCGACGCCGCTAAATGGATTCGTCTACATAACAAAAGTTGAAGGCAAGCCGCGAATTTACAATTGTGACAATGGTAATGATAGAATTTCTTTTTCGCCAGTGTTTCTATATACAATAAATCAGGCTTACTGTGATTGGCGCAATTTTTTGCCAATAGCCCCGCTTGAATATTACAAACCAGCCGTGTCTTGTTGGTCTAATAAAAATTGCCGAAAGAATTATAACGAAAGTGGTAGAAGATAATGCAAAGGTAATAATAATAAATGTGCAAGAAATAGGATCCATTCATTATGGGATAAATTTTTGAATTCGATTTACGTTCTATATAATAATAATAATGATTTTCTAGTTTCTCAATATACAATAAAAGCAGTTTAAAAAAACATAATTAACTCTCTCTGAAAAGTAAATGAGATTTGAAACACCTAAACTTGTGCACACTGCAAATGAAAACATTTGCTTACAGGACTCTAAGACCGAAGGTTATTTTGAGTACTCAGAATTAACCAATCTCGGACAAAAAATGGCGAAGAATCCTGTGAAACAAAAACACGCGTCGTATGTATATTTCTTTTATTGGAAGCATCGGCCGTGACATTTATTATATTTAGATATAGCCATTACTAAATATGTTAATAGTTTGAAATGTGCATACTAACCGACAATCTAATATGGTCGGACAGAATGTAAAATGATTTTTGAGTACTGTCTCGTCTGAATTACACCATTTCCCAAAGTCTATAAATGAAATCTCCTTGTCAAAAGTGGGCGGCGCCCGATGTTTGTAAATATATATCAACCAATCATATTATTATAATTGTTCATGTGACACGCTACACCGCATTCTCACTTTTTTCATTTTCCATGTCCAGTTTTCCCAAAGCATCTCTATACACCAAACGTTAGATCTACTGTTGCATTCTAAATAAACTGTTTCATAATGAGCGAACCGACCAAAGCCCAGATCAGTGAAATGTTCAAGAAATTCACTGCTCAGAGAGCAAACAAGGTAGAAAACAGAATTTTACAATCCCATTCAGTTATGCTATAAATGAATTCTAACAGAAGCGAATAACTCGTTCTTTTGTATCTTTCTACACTCGTCGGAAACAAACATTTATAACCCTAACCGCTTTCAACCAAAGATGTGTTTTGACTGCAACGCTAAGAATCCTTCCTGGGCGAGCGTCACATTTGGAATATATCTTTGCCTCGACTGCTCCTCTGTTCATCGCAATCTCGGCGTCCATATTAGCTTTGTTCGCTCTACCTCTCTAGACTCGTGGACATGGGATCAACTCCGCATTATGAAAGTAGGCGGCAACGCTGCTGCCTCGGCATATTTCGCAAAACATGGTTCCAGTATTTTAAATACAAAGGATGTCACTGCCAAGTATACCTCTCGCGTAGCAGTAAAGTACAAAGAAGAATTACAACGCCGAGCAAAACAAGACGCATTAGACGATCCGGGTTTTGTTTTATTGCAGGAGAACGAGCAACCGAGTAGTTCAGTACAAACTGACGACTTTTTTGACAGTTTTCTGTCAGGAAATGCATCGAAATCAACCTCAACTGCAACATCCACCTCTACGCCGACATCTTCCGTTACGCTCACAAAACCCAAACCAGCTCAATCGAAAATTTTATCAAAACCCACCGCGTCGAAAAAGCCTAAAAAAGGTCTTGGTGCTGTTGCAGTTAAGCGTAATATTGAAGAAGCAGAACAAAAGGCCAAGGAGGAAGAAGAATTTTCCGTTCGTACCACTTATTCTCGTAATAGCAGCGAACAAGCGCAAGAGCGATCAGAGGAATCGGCGTCGTTTAGTTCGAGGTTAGCGTATAACGATAGCTCTCTTGGAGGCGGTAGAGCAGATATCGGTTCAAACACAAAGATTGGGAGTGATGATATGGATAGGCTCGGTATGGGAATGTCGAGGCTGGGTTTCGGATCAATTGGCCCACCTCCTGAAAAGACAACCGTGGAAAGAGAAGATAGATACACGGGCTTTGGGTCAAGTTCGTTCAAATCTTCGAGGGATTACGAAGGTAGGGTTTATTGGTGCTGGATGTGAAAAAAAAACACATCTATTTATGATTTCGTTGAAAAAAAATAAATTGTTTTCTTGTTTCTGTTCAATTTCCGATTTCAACGAAAGTGATAGGCTGGGGCAATATTAGCCATTGAGCGTGTTAATAGAAGGCTAATTTTACTTACCCACTTGTTGCCCTTAATTTTTATCAATTTGCCTTCTTTAATCGTTTGGTTTTTTAAAACATTGCTTATTCCAATTCTTATTTGGTTTCGGGTCCGTCTAACGCTTCGATTCATATTCGTAATTTATTCCCAAATTCAGATAATCGTAGTTCCGCAAGTGCAGACGTAAATTACGCCCAACAAACATTTGGTAACCAAAAATCTATTTCCTCTGACCAATTTTTTGGACGTAACGCCTACGACCCTGAGGCTCAATCTGCGGCATCTGACCGTCTACGTCAATTCCAAGGAGCGACTTCTATATCTTCTGAAGACTACTTTGGTCGTAAAGAGGAACCTGTCAAGTCGGATGGGTTGGATTTGAATAATCTAGAGTTATCAGCACGGGAGATTGCAAGGAAGTTTGCCGAGCAAGCTGCAACCGATTATGAGGCCGTCAAAATTGCCGTTGAGAGAGGAAGTGATAAATTGAAGGAATACATTGAAGCTATTCAGGTTGGTTTTGGAAAGTTTTGGAGAGTATGCTGGTTGTTTGGTTATTGGTGAAGTTTAATGCTAAGAATAAATGGACGGAACCACTTTTTATTTTGTAGAGAGGTTAAAAGGAAAATTCCAAGATATCTTAGTGATAATACTGTCGATATATTTATTGTTCCTACGAGGAAGCACATTGTGCACACGGTCAAGAAGGGGGGGGGGGTTTCTTTACTGAAATATTTATCATTTTGGAGTTTTGTGGATATGGATGGAAGTGGCTTTTCTAATATGAATAGTATAACTCAAGTACACACATACAAAGACATTTTGATAATACTTATTTACCACACAAGAGTGGTGAATTATCTATAAATAGAATTTTTTATTTACCCAGAAGCTCACAGTCGTTGCGTATTAAATTTATTGAATTTGTACATTAATTTGCAACATTTCATACCGTCAAAAATATGGTATCGTTAGAAAACGAGGACGAGACTAGTGTTATTCATCCAGAGTCAATCGAACTATTTTTTTGCTTCTTTGCAAATAAACATATGAACTATTGCTTCATCTACGTGCTTACAATTCGTATGAAGACCATCGTGGCACTCATTTCTCGACAGAGATAACACTATCGCATAAACACTCTCAACGCGCAAACTGCTTGTTTCCTCTTCTTTTCATTCTCTTTTTGCATGCACTGTTTTTTTTTCTTTGTCTTTTCTTTTTTTTTTTTTTGTTCCTAATTTTTCCTCATATGTTTCATCTTTTCTCTTTGTTTATCAATCCAAATCTTGAATGCGCGAATCTTCAGTTCATTTTTGGGCATTTCTTTCATGTTATACGCTTGTGAGATGATAGTCGTGGTGACACGTGTTTTATCATTAATCATCTTTTCCATTTCTTGCGCAATCATCACCTGAGTTAACTTTCCAGGTAAAGAAGCTCTCCAGTCATAATATAATCTAAATTGTTGCATGATGCGCTTATGAGAAGGTGAAGTTCGCCTCTTATAACGAAAACGAGGACTACCCTCCCGGGAAATATTAATCTTCTTTTCGTCTGGATATTCAGCTTCAGATTCCTGCTCTCGCTTGATTTCTATGACGGGAGCATTAGCAAAGCAGTTTCTTGTCAAATAAGTTCTACGCAGTGGTGAAGACAAGGACGGAGATTTTTCACGAGATTTTGCTGGAGATTGGGATAGTCGTGGAGGCAAGATAGGAATGGGTGGTTCATAGCCAGGTTCCAAGTGAAATGAGAGAAGTTCTTGGTACAGTGAGTTTGGGAGCACTTGTTGAAACGGTATGATTTTACGGCGAAATTCGGCTGATGGGATTTGGAAAAATCTGATGTATGGTATGATGGGTTTAATAGAGTTTCGTAACGTAGCAAAATTTTCGGGTGTCCATGTCATTACATCTTCAGGTAAGTGAGAGTGCTGTGCAATGCCCCAACGTATTACATCTTCCCATATTGCAGCTTCTTCCCTAATTAAATCGTCTCTTTGCACAATGGATACTAGAAAATCGACCTCAAGGGTGAGGAATTCTTTTGAGCTGAACATGACAACTGGTTTTGACGCAATGATAGATTGAGCATGATTGTATAATAATTCACATGACGGACGGTCAGCAAGCGATTTCCATATACGCATGAGGTTATCTCTAAGCCAGGTCTGTTGGTTTTGTATGATTTTATCTTGTATGTAAGTGATTAGGGATGAAACTTGGAGGTCGTCTGCAGCAACAAGTTGGTCAAGGAAGTCTATACCATTGTTACGTTTCATTGAAAAGTTATTTGTGTAAATGAATCTAAATTAGGGAGAATTCAACAGATGGAATATATTAGCATAATAAAAGAGTAAAGGTGGCAATTGCACATTTGAGAAAATAAGATCCATTGATGGGATATTGGATATTTTCTGAGCAAAATGAAAATTTTTGTATCCGGCTCGTGGTCAAATACCGAGCTTATTACTCACTTGAGAACGGAGCGAAATACTTCAGGATCCATAAAAGGAACCTTTAGTTTCTGTTCGAATGTGGTCCTCTTTGTCTGAAGAGCATTCAACACCTCTCGAAAGAAAGGTGACCTAGCCCATAGTATAGGTGAGTGTACGCGTATCTCCTCTGTGTTGGGCTCTTCACCTACTATTAGCGTCAAGTCAGCTAATGTAGTGTCGACGTATAAACGGTTGAAATCCTGAGTAAAGGACGGAAGACACATTGTAGGGAGCTATATTCGATGCACAAGTACAGCTACTTTGATAAAAAGTAGTGACCAAGGATTGTTGTATAGGTTTTTCGAATACACTTGTGCTGTGTCACAAGATCTGCCAATAGGATGTTTACATGCTTGACGACAGCTGTACAGCCTACCAATCAATCGTTAGTTTAGGGATGTTGTTCTACAATAATAATAACAAAAAAGTTTTTCCTCCCACGAAATACCCAATTTACTAATCGGGGTATTTACTATTTGTTTATGCGAAAAAAAGTTGGATGATCGGAGCACGGTTGAATTCCAATTCTGGATAATGCTTTTCCAGTATTTGCAAAATCAGATATCGCGACTATTTTTAAAGTGGTCGTTCCAAGATATTTCGACCATTTAGTGTTGGTATAATACATGGGCTTATTGATTGGGTGGTTGTTGATTCGTCTTCTAGTCTTTGCAATAACTGATGCTTTTAACAATGCTTTGGAATTACTAAATCGACTGCTGGGCATTGCATGATATATAGTATATTTATTGTGTATCACAATGGGTGAAATAACATCTACTTGAACTTGGTAAAGCATGTTATATTACCTGTATTACTTTAGTGCCATAAATCTGACGATCTGACAGCGTTTCATTTGACGATCGTATCCATAAGCGTTCGAGCCGTTACATAGATTGTATTTGCATCCTCATTCCGCGTAGCTGACGTCACTGTTTCAAAGAGAGAAAATTATCTTGAGCGGACGTTATTTGCCATAAAGAGAGTTGTGCAGTCAACCTACCTGTATTATCGTTATTTTAAATATGGGTAGGCTGCACGATCAAGTGCGATGCTAATTACTGTCTAGACACACTACATGTTGACGAAATCTACGCATTATTTTGAATCGGAAAATATACAGTACATTCTGCAAGGCGTCGTTAGTTAGAAATAATATCAATTACGATGCAAAAATGTAATGAGAATAAAATGCATTCAATTTTCTTTGCTATATTCAACCAACTAAAAATTGCACAGCAGTGTTAAACAAAACACGTCAGGTAGCGCAAGTGCGTTTTGTTTAACTGGAAATTTTTACCAGATAATTGTCATGGAAAGAATTGAATGTTCCAACAAGATAATGATCCGAAATATAAACCATGGAAGTTCTCGTACGGCAATGCCCAAAAATTATAAATATTGTCTAATAGCTCAAACATCAACTCAATTAAAACTTGGTGTAGAGAAACAAGTCAACAAGTTATTAATAAAGGCAAAGGCAGTTATCAAAGTTTTTTTTTTTTCAAAAAATTGAGATGGAATTAAAACCAAGATTTTGTTAATTTGATCTGTAGTAAGCCAAAAAATTAGAAAAATAATTGCAAAAAATGGTAACTAAACCTACTACAGCCATACCCCACCTCGGAATAGAGATTTCTTGGGGAGATATCTGAAGCGAGGATATAACTAAGATATTGGATTTACGCATTAATTGATATTGAGTAGCACAAGCAATTATTGGTTAATTAATTAATATACTCTGTTAATAATACTGACTCGTCTAAACGTTGATTGCCCATATATTTTATGTCCTGTTTAGTCATAAATTATTTTTATTCTAAAAATGTTTAGCAGTCTCAAGTGCTTGATCGAAAATTTGTTGTGTTATTTAACACATTACCGTATACTACCGTGAATAAGCACCCACCCTTATCATAGTGAGGGGTGCTTATTCACGATAGGATCGGCAACTCTTATCGGCATTATTAAAATGATCTGCAAATCATTACGTAAAGTATAATCCACAACAGCGTTAAGGGGTAGCTTACAACAGTAAGCGTACTGTTATTTGTGTTCGCAAAATGGCTTGTATAGTTACGTAATTAACTATGGGTGGGGGTACGTCATGCAGTTAATCTAGGTAATCTTGGGGGTGCTTATTCACGATACGATGCCATTTCTTATAAGGGGTGCTTATTCACGATGGGTGCTTATTCACGGTAGTATACGGTATGTCATAAAGTCAGCCTACATCTAGATCTTAATATTAAGTTATTAAATAAACGTTTAAGAAACTTCCGTATAAAGCGCAGTTCAAACTTCCAATAGGTTTAAGAGACCGATGAAATGGCTCGTGACACAAACAACATATGGGGCAGACTGCAACAAAACCAGACAAAGTGAACATTTTATTATGTGACATAAATTAAAATGAGAGGCTGATTGTGATGTGACTTAAAATTGACCAGTATGACTGATGGCGTTTTGAAAAGTAGTAATTGTGCTCATAACTTATGGACTTGCTAATTTTAATGCTTACTTTATTATACCAGAATGTGATGAATATAGACCATAACATGATTAATATAATATTACCTCTATATATAAAAAGTATTAATATGAAACTAATTTACATTAGAACCACTATTACTATGGAACCAAAAAATTACAACTATTAGAAGCATTTTAAAAGAGAAAAAATTGCTCCGTATTTTTTTAACGAATGACACCAAAATTCTCTAGATGAAGAAAAAAATTACTTATGAATATGAAATTTACCAAGAAAAATGAAAAATAATAAACCCTAACCCTAACCCTAACCCCAACTCATAATGAACAAAAAAGAAACACAAATAAATAATAACCAGAGTTTTGATACGAATAAAAATTTAAACCTCATTTTTGATATTGATTATTGGTGAGCTTTCTTCCTTCTTAGCATCCAAAATACTAGAGCAGTGGTCATAATATAATTATATTATGACCACTTAGTCTAGGTTATGACCTCTCAGTTAGACTATATCCACTTTGTCACGTAACCGCAAGTTATTCCCATGACGAGTTTGCATTTTGCATCGTTATTTGCCTGTGTAACCATCGAGGAAGTCAGCTGAGGGTGTTAGTTGGAAAAGTCGGCCGCTACGAGGTGACCATGAGTTTACATTTGCGTTGTCATTGCGAGTGGTTCACATCACGATTAGCTTGCGGAGCTGTCTGCGATGGCTGAAAAAAAAACACGTTATTTGGTTATGTGACGACAAGTTTGTATTTGCGTCCGTCATTGCTTGACATTACACGTCAATGGATAATGACGATGAGCGGTTGCGTCGTCATTCAGCCGAGGCGTGGTACCACATCGTCATATTATTTGATCTCTAGAGCGTGGTTGGGTTGACGTAAGTCGATTTGCGAAGCAAATACTAAAACAAGCAACGATAGAATTGTGTTTACACCGCCGTCATTTGGCGGCACCCGCTGAGTTAGCTAGAGCCAAAAAAAAAAACAAAACAAAAATAAATCATACTCGAATATAACCGCTTTCCAGAGGAAAAATTAATACTTAAATCGGTTTAAATAGGAGGGTATATAACCTCCATAATTTATATATAATATTTCTGAAGTTATATACCCTATCTTATAATGATAAACATATCGGCGAAGGGTTTTATTATATAATATTTCCGAAGCTGAATACTCAACCGTAATGCTTCGAATACATACTAATACCCCAAAGCATATCAGCGCTTGTAATATAGTGATGTTTATTATCTTTTTGTCGCAGTGTGCACCTTTAGCGTTCACTCGTAGGTGTAGGCAATAAAGAACGCAAAACTCCAAAGCATATCAGCAAGGGGTATTCTTCTTCCATAATTATTATATAATATTTCTGAAGTTATATACCCGGAAAACATATTGGCGAAGGGTATTATTATATAATATTTCCGAAGCTGAATGCCCGACGTAATACTCCGAATACTCGAACCGTATCAGCAAAGAGTATTCTTCTTCCATAATTATTATATTCACTGAATAAGAAAAATTATATGAATACAAAATATATGAAAATTTAAATGTGTTACCAAAACATAATTTATCTTTAGTGGCGTTAAAGATTGTCTCGCTGATATCGTCATGTAAGTCAGACACTCGATAAAGAGTCTTGTTAGTATTAAAATCAACGGCTGTTCTCAACATTTTTAGGAAAGACGAACTATTTTTCCAAAGGTTGTTGACTATGTCTGAATTCGCTTCTTCCTAAATGAATGAAAAATCCCTGATAATGTTCAGACGTATCCAACATATCAAAGTGCAACCCGCCAGACGTATCCGTTGGGCTTTCAGACGTATCCTAGCACTTTTTGGGTAAAGTTAATAATAAAGATAATTTCGAAGTTGTGCCTGATACTCTTTAGACGTATCCAAATGTATCAAAGTGCAACCCGCCAGACGTATCCGTTGGGCTTTCAGACGTATCCTAGCACTTTTTGGCCTTCGTGATGCTTCCACTACTAAATAAATTTTCGAACCTTAAATTTATCCAATGCCTGTGTTGCCAAATTTTGAATTTTTTTACTGTCGCGGTGCTCCAGTAGGTTTGGGTCATTATAAATTGCTCGTAAATGTGTTTTATAGATACGATGCTCTTCGTCTTTACTTCCAAAATCTTGGGCGTATACCATACTCCATTGAAGAAAGCTAGCTAACCTCCAATCATCGTTGCTTGCAAAGTAAGGAAGTCTCACATTTTTTGTTGTCGAAAAATTTTTTGTAAATTTGACAGATTTGATTTATATCACCTGATGCCACTAAGTCATCCCCCCTTATAGTCACACCATCGGAATCCGTGACTATAGGGGAGTGTGACTATATGGGAGGGTCACACAGTATTTATGACGTATACGTATATTAATATATAATTATTGTTATTATTATTATATTCATCTTTTTTATTAATTTCTTACTGATAGTTGTTCGGTCAATATCGAGATCATATTTAGCATTGAAATGAGTTGCAATTTCAGTTTGATCATTAAGCACGTTATCTTTATGAAAAGCATAAATTTCATGTTTAAGCAAGTCACTTGTAGACGTTTATCCTATCAGATTGCGTAAAGCATGTGATTTTTTGATTGCTAATGTGACTAAAAGGGGCTATGACTGCTATAAAATCCGTCTCACATACACTCGAAGCCAGAAAAATAGATGCAGAATGTGTCACGTACAATAGATAACGACACATATCGTTTTCCAAACATTTTTTACTTTGATTATATATATAGTTATTTTACCCGACACAAAAAACCCTAGGTACAAATAAACTACAAAATTTCCTCCCTTTAAACGAGATCTACTCAATCGTTTATATCATTAAATTAGCCGGTCTCACACTCTCTGTTTTATATCAATGAAAGGTAAAGTGAGTGACATGATTTACATGTGACGTAATTTGATTACATATTAATATGACATATTTTCTGGAACTGATCAGCGCAATAATCGATTCTGTTTCTGTAGACCAATATGACGCAACTACAATTTAAAGGCTGGGAAACTGCTTTGGACTCCGAAAACTTGACTCTTCTTTCCATCCTGAAATTCCGTCAAACAAGAGATGACTTCTCGTTCAATAAGTCGGTCGAGCATACTCTTATATCAAAGTTCGTTTCATACGTTGCAGAAACTGCAGATAAAAAGTGGGGAAAGGTCGCCTCTGCCCTTAATAACGATGGTGGAATTTTTAAGGTAATATTTTTGTATTTACGCCTGGTATCGAAGAGAATAAATCAGAAGGGGAAAAGTGGCGAGGGGATAGGGAAGGAGTTGGGCGCTGTCGAAACAACCACCTAAGCAACCTGGCAACGCGTCGGGTTAGTTACGGGGGCTATCTCCGGTGGGCTCCATCCTAAGTTTGTGTGAAGGCCAAAGGCAACACACGTCTTAGTGCCAAGAGCGACGCGTTTGTTCACAACCCCTAATGACCCGCTTTTCTTCCTACAATAATTTCTTCCCCAATAATTTCAACAGCAAGCCCAATGGGAGGATGTAAAATTATTTTGAAATAAGATCGAATTTGAAAAAGTTGAATTAAACACTCAATTGTTAGAGAAGAAGTTGGACAAAATTGAGGTATTTGCAGGTCTAATATGCATAAAGAGCTGTTGTTCAGAAGGAAATTAATGTTTCATTTTACGGAAAAGCTGATTGACACTTTTTTCTTTCAATAAGACAAAACAACAACTCCAGGCAACCAAAAATGCCTCAAACCAGATAAATGTAATCCAGAATAGATTTATCAACAGGAGCAAGAAACGTGAACATGACTTGCAAGTATAATTTTGAGCTTGAAGAAGCGTTAAATGAAGCAATATCTATTAATAATATGTAAATTTCCTCCTGTTTAGTCACATCACGTGAACAAAGTATTTACAGACATGTGATTATTGTCTATCACTAT